AAAATCATCATAATTATATTACTAAAAAAATATACCTACATATTTACGTATTTTTTAACATACTACTCTGACAATACTGGTAAGTTTAAAAGTCTACGCCACTGGCGAGCATATTATGGACACTGTTTACAACGTTGCCAGCCGGTCATAAGAGATCTGTCTTTCTCTCTTCCACTCACTAACAATTTTAAAACAATAACAGTCCGCGATTGTATGGGATTTATGAATGAAACATTTTGTCTATATGTTGTAATGTCTTTGATATTACTCATTTTAAAACTTTAAAATGCGTACTTAATTGTCAGAATTAAAGTTTCTAGAACTGTAATTTTGTTTGAGGCATTTATTTACGTTTGTGTTCATAATTTGTAATGACATTTTTAATAAAATACATTTTTTATTAATTTATTTATTAAATGATTGAAAATAATATAAAATATGCAATTGTTTTTAAAACGTAATACAATTTCACAGAAAATGCAAATGGACTTAATATTTGGCGTCGATTTGAATATTTATATTTGTCATGATCATAAAACGCTGTAGTAAAATGACAGATGAGTGCAATAAAATTTTTATTGCACTAGTGCAATAAAGAACCAGTTTTTTCACTAAATATATATTTCAATAAAGTTTTGTTTTTTGCATGAACGTAGAAAAAATTATTTTGATATCTCATTTGGTAAGGGAGATGGTTTTCTCAATTTAAAGGAGCAAAAAAAATATTCTTTCGGTTGTAAATAGAAAAAAAAAATATCATAAATATATGCTACAAACCCGATTCTGATATATCTCATAGAAACAGAGATACAGCACTTGCCATTGTAGCTTAAGTATCAAGCTATCATAGCCATTGTTCCTTACGGACCACAATAACAAAAAATAAATTGATATATATTTATAGCGCAAAAAATTAGCAAAAATATACGCCGCAAACCCGATTCTGATATATCTCACAGAAACAGAATTACAGCACTGGCAATTTTAGCTTTAGTATGGCCAATGTTTCTCGGTAACGGCAGGACCAAAAAAATTAAAAATTGGGTAAAAACATAGCAAAAAATTTGCCAAAAAATATGCCAAAAAATACAGTATAAGTCGCTCTGCTAGCTTTATAGACATCTTTTTTATTCTAGATACCTACTCATTTATTTTATTATAATAATAATAATGTTTATTCATCTTAAAAACATACAAATATAATATAAAATAACAATATAAAGTACAAAGAATGAACAAACATAAATAATCACAAAAGTAGTGTTAGACCACTTGTATGTGATATAATATTTAAATAGAAATAAAAAAAACAAACATGAAAATATATGTAAAATATTTTTTTTTTTAAATATATTATCGGAATGAATTTGTATCTAAATAAATAAATAAATTGTTTTGATTATTTTTTTAAAATTTTTGTTTTTTACCGTTTATCTATTGGGTGTATTGTACATTCCACAAGGAAAACCTGTCTATGGTCCGTTAGTATAAAACCAATAAACATGATAAAATTAATATTTTAATTTGAAATAATTTACTTTTTTTTCCACGAAAATTAAATATTTTTTTTTTTTAGATGAGTATATATAATTTTTATATAAACTTCTAATGTTGCTATTTATAATTTTGAAATTTGCCATTTTCTCGTGTTTAATATAGTTTTTAGAGTCACTTGCATTTTGGATTATTGTGGTATCTATTAAATCAAGATCAAAATGATTAATATACTCATCCATATTTTCCTTAACAAAATATTTTATAATGTATTTTTATTTATATAAAAATTGGTTGACTACTTTGATCAATACCTCCGGCAAATAATTGGGTATATCGCTTTAATTTATTTAATCAAATTTTGTTAAGAACTAAATAGGTAGGTACCTATTAAAAATGATTTACATTTATCTATTTATTATCAGATATTTGGAACATATAAAGAAAAAAAAATTGAAAAAATAACAGTTTATAGTGGAACTTACTAATCTAATCTATGGTAGATAATTAATAAATAATCAGATAAAAATTTTAATAGGCGAGGCAGTAAAGTTTAAAATTTATAAAGTTTTGATGATTATTAAAAAATATAGACACTTAAGTATTTTCCTAGGTAAAAAAGTTTATAAATATTATAAAGCCTAGAATTTTTTAAAAACTGTTTTTTTTTTCTATTTTGCCGAGGTCTTGCGCTGTGGACGTCCGTCTCTTCGTTGTAGAAATGCTGGATTAGGAGTGGTATTAACCGGAATTTTTTTCACAACTTTCCCTTGGTTCAGTTGGGGTTCCGTCTTTGGGGCCTGATCGTTTGTAGTTACTGGGACAAGTGGTGGAGGAGAAAAAACGTTTTCTTCTAGTTCTACCTCTACCTCTTTATTTGGAATAGGTGTTGGTGGAGCACTTGCAGATTTCTGTGGTAGATTAATTTCAAATTCTGTTTCAAAGTTATTTTCCAATTCTTCTACTGTATGTGGGGTATCGTTTATGTACAGTTTAAAATTTTTTTTCACTGCTTTTTGTTGATTAGCCCTGGCTTTTTTTAGGTGTCCAATAAGTACTTTATTAATTTCCTGGTATTTGGGTCTTAAGTCGTTTGCTATGGAGATAGATAGGAAAAAATGTGGTGTTCTAATTTTATTGGACTATAGCAAAGCTTTTGACATGTTAAATCATGATATGTTGTTTGCTATTTTTAATTTTCTAGGTTTAAGTGAACCTTCCATCGAGTTATTTAGAAATTACTTTACAAATCGGACAGTACAAGTAGGGTATGAAGGGCAAATATCTACGAAAGGATTAGTTAATAGAGGAGTACCACAAGGCTCAATATTAGGTCCACTACTCTACTCAGTATACACCAATAAACTACCTACAACATTGAATCAGCTAAAAATGCATATGTACGCAGATGACACTCAACTTCTTAATTTTTTCTTCAAAGAGAACTTAAACCACGCAGAAATTGTGATAAACAATGAACTCGCTGCTCTTATCCAAGCCTCCAATAACCACGGCCTAGAAATTAACACATCTAAGTCTCAGATTGTATTATTTGGAAATTTAAAAAAGAATGAATTAGTTATCAACATAGGGAACAACAAAATACATATAACTGAAAAAACAAAAAACCTAGGTATGATAATTAATTCTAATTTGAGGTTCTCAGAACATGTCAGTTTTATATTACAAAAATCATATGCAAATCTCAAATATCTCTACCATAATCGACATGCCTTGAGTTTGAAATTGAAAAATCAACTTTGTGATGCCCTAGTGTTGTCACATTCCAATCATTGTGACTATGTTTATGACTCATGCTTAACGTACATGGACAAAAACAGATTGCAAAAACTTCAAAACGCATGTTTAAGATTAATTTTTGGGATTAGAAAATATGATAGAATCAGTCATACTCTACTGCGCAATCATTGGTTATCTATGGCTAACAGGAGACAATTACATTCGTTAACACTTCTACATAAAGTTATTTTAAAAGAATCACCACCATATTTATTAGACAAGCTAACATATAGATCTGACGTCCACAATATCAATATTAGGCAGAAAAATCTCTTAACAATACCTCAACATCGTACTACTTTATTTCAAAGGTCTTTCCGTTTTAGTTTAGTAACTAGTTATAATAATTTGCCCACGGACATGAAAAAGTTAACTCTAAATAGTTTTAAAAAAAAGTTATATTTTAAGTTATTTAATGAACAATGCGCTGAATCATAGGGATTTTATTAAACAGCTTTTTATATAAGAATATAAAGCAATGTATTTTTTTCTTTTTTGTTTTGTTGTTTAACTGGGTTTAACTTTGTTTCACTACGAAATTTATTTAAAAAAAAGGTTCTTGAGGAAGAACAGCTATGCTGATTTTGCACCTTTTAATTAACAGTATACATATATTTACCTTTTATTAAATTGTGTTTTTATTTATTACATGTATTTATTTTTACTGTTGGTTAATAAAGATATATTATTATTATTATATCCCAGTTCCCTTCAACTTCTTCAAATCCTTTAATATTTTTTGTTTTTGTAGAAAGGATACGAATTCCAGTAGAACAGTGCCTTTTTGTCCAATTATGTGTATGTTATTTATGTCGCGTTCTTCCAGCCCACTGTTAAAAATTTGATTTGTTGATGGTTATTGTTAGTATGTTATTGTATGTTCCCTTAATCCCAAATATGATAATATTGTTACGTTTATTGGATCTCTCTAGGTATGTTATTCTTTTTTCAACTTCTTCACAGCGTTCTTCAAGATTTTGAATTTTTTGGCTTAGTAAATCATTCAAATTTTGTATGTCTTTTCTTATTTGAATTGTATTTTCGTTCATTATTTTTATTTGCATTGACTGTACTATTTGAGGATATCAGTTAAACCATAAGTAAAGTAAGCTTATTTATTTATTTTCGTGGATTTTTGATATGATTTTACTTATTTTCTACTTCTAATTAGATTTTTTATAAAAAAAAATAATCCGCTCACCTTTTTTCGCTTCAGTTTTCTACTTATTTCAATACAAATTTAAACTAAAAATATGCACATTTAACTTCAATTTTATTAAGATATATCGCAGCGATATAAAACACGTCTTGTCTCTACCAGAAACAATATATAGTTATGAAGTTATATAGTTAGAAGTTATATAGTTTATGAAGAAGGATAATCCATTTTGTCGAATGTGGTTCAGATGTGGTACAGATTTAGCTTTCTCTTATTTTTTTGAAGTAGGTATTTATTTTTTTGCTTTTTTTATAATTCCACCTTATTTACACTTTATAAAAATAAATTTTACAAAAAAAAATTAAATAAATCATAAGTGGAAAAATATATATTTTTAATAATTATAATTACAAAGTACTTTTTTTCAATAATAATAAAAAAAAAAACAATCCATCACTTATTTAATCTAAATAAGTAATTTCTTAACAATAAACGAACGAAAAGAAGCCTGCAACTCAACAAATACTCATTAAGGAAAATTTGACATCTACGAACTCTTAGCCGGCACAGACTGAATGACCGCCTTCACTTCCGTGTACTGTTGCAAACCGTACTCGCTCAATTCCCTACCGAATCCAGAATCTTTGTAACCTCCGAACGGAATTTGGGCACCAAAAACGTTGTAGCAATTCACCCAAACGGTACCAGCCCTCAAACCTGCAAAAACAAGCAATAATGATCAAAAATCAATCTTCAGATACTGGTTAATATTGACCTAAATCCCTTTCTTGTCTTAATCAGAAAGAGACCACTGTATCAGTTGTCAATAACAGAAAAGTGATATTCTGTGAAAAAGTCGCTTGTCACGTCAAACTCACTGAGAATATGGTTTTTTCGGGTAGGGATATGTTGAATGAAAAATCAATTTCATCAGAAATAAAAGAAGTAAATTAATTATAAAAAATAAAATCAATCTGAACTATCAAACGTACCTTGTGTAATGTAATTAACCTTGTGAATGTCATTTGAGAACACGGCCGACGCAAGACCGTAGTTGGTGTCGTTTGCTCTTTCGATCAGTTCGTCTAAATTCTTGAAACTAAAAATTTGCTGCACTGGGCCGAAGATCTACAAAAAAAAAACGTTTATTGAAGACTTTATTTAATCGAATATGTTGAAACTCAAAAATGTCAAATATAAGAAATACCTCTTCTCTGGCAATGATATTGTCATCTTTGACGTTGGCGAAAACTGTTGGTTGCAAGAAATAACCTTCACTTCCATGTCTTTCACCTCCGTGAACTAACTTAGCTCCTTGCCGTTCGCCTTCTTTGATCAATCCAAGGATTTTGTTGAATTGGGTCTCATCGATTTGGGGTCCTTGTTCGGTGGTGGGGTCGAAAGGATCTCCTGTAAAAAAAATTCGATACACATTCGTTAAATACAAAGATACGTTGTACTCACCTACTACGCGTTTCTTGGCACGTTCCACCGACCTCTCGACGAACTCGTCGTAAATCTTCTCTTCGACGAACGTCCTTGTACCGGCGCAGCACACTTGACCGGCGTTGAAAAAGACGGCTTGATGGGAATTTTCAACGGCTACTTTCATATCCACATCAGCTAGAATGATATTGGGGCTTTTGCCGCCCAATTCCAAAGTGGTTCTCTTCAGATTGAACTTGCCCGAGTTGGCTTGGATGAGCTTACCCACTTCCGTGGATCCAGTAAAGGCTATTTTGTCCACCTTGTTAAAATAAAGAAACATTTATAGTTTTAACAGTATATGGCGGCGTTACCAATAATATTTTTATACTGCTATATTGGCACAAATGTAAATTGCAGAAGAGAAAAAATCACTAAATAAAATTCCTGCTCAACGAAACGACCCTTTATGATCAAAAAGACTGGATCTTTCACAGAGAAACAGCTACAAGAAGCAATAAAATGTAGAAAAGAACCAATCCCTGATGGCATACCTCCGGACGTCATAAAGGATATAGCCCCTAAAATGGTCGTAGGTGCACTAAAGTGTGCTCTTTCTAGAAGGTGGCTAACATAGTTTTAATACCGAAGGATACTCCAGCAGATATCCCATCAAACTATAGACCGATAATATAACTACTGAATACGCTGAACGAGCTATATGAAAGACTCGTAAGGAACAGGCTTGTAGTAGGACCATTTCGATTTCAGGAATGGCCGCTCTACAATAAACAAGAGGTAGAAAAGTTAGAAAGAAAGCAAAAGTGTAATAGAAGGGTAAGATTGCATTAAATACTATAGAATGGAGCATTATTGTAAGCGAACTCCAGAAAAGAGGAATACTAGTGTAAAAAACTTTCTCACTGAACGGAAGCTAGCCATCACTATGAAAAAGGAGATGGCAGTGACTATAAGAGTTCCCCAGGAAACGGTACTTGGACCGACCCTTTTGAATGTACTATACGATGAATTATTAAAGCAGCGCTTACTCGAGAGAGCCATAATGACTGGGTTTGTCGATGACTAGGCGGTTTTGGTAAAATCAGGCGATATGGAAATACTAACGAAACGTTGAAGACGATAGACGTGCCGATGACAAATTATCACCTTGAGCTGGCATCACACAAAACAGAAAACTTTGTACAAGTTGGATGCGGCATTTGTTAAAGGCTGTTCAAAATATGCCAATTTTTCAGTAATATTTTACTGTTTTAAATAGAATCCAACCGAGTTTATGCGTAGAATTGTTACTATGAATGAAACGTGGAAGCACCACTTTACGATTGAAAGAAAATAGGAGTTGACACAGTGGGTGAAGACCGGTGGCTCTGCACCAAAAGAATGGAAGGCAATTGTATCTGTTAAAAAAGTTTTTTGAAATGCAAAAGGTATTATTTTAAATGATTCACTGATAGACATATAATTTGTGACATGAAAATATTTAGGTGTTTCTAATGCAGTTTGATACCCTGAAGTCAAATCAAACAGAATTTTTCTATCACCCACAGATATTCTGTAACCTGCGGCTTTAGATTTTATAATACGTAAAATTTCATTATATTGCATCATCTCATATTTTCATATGATCAGGGATCTATAGGGAACTATAGGTGATAGAAGAAATCTGTAGCTATTTTCTGCTTTTGTGGTAATTTTTACATAATAAACACTTTGTTATGTTCATGTCACAAAAAACAAGTGGATTTTTGTTACCAGTGTTACCGGCAAAAAGGTAAAACAATAATTTTCGAAAACTAAGCACATCTTCTTGGTCAACTAGATAAAAAAATTCGTGAGACCAGGCCTATATTGCAAATAAATCATCTTCCATCAGCCGACCAGTGAAAATTAAGTTATTGAATTACCAATTTGTAGAATATCCACCCTATTCACTATATCTAGCTCCTTCTAACTTTCATCTATTCCCAAATCTAAGAAATGTTTAGGTTAAAAACGTTATGGATCAAATGAAGAGATGACAGCAATGGTAGATGATTATTTTGCAAACCTTACAAAATTGTACTTGAATGGAATTCATTTATTAGAAAAACGTTCAAAATTAAACTGATAGGAGACTACATGGAAAAGTAAATTAGTCTTTGAATTAAAAAATACAGTCTTTTATTACTATACTAAGAACATGGAGAAATGGGACCATCCTCTTTGGAATGTTTCGAGAATAAAACTAAAAGTCATTTGTTGCTAAAATTGCTCAATGATCTCAATAAAGCTGTCATAGCCAATACAATTCTCATAGCAATAGCAAACGAGGAAAACTTATTTGACATGTATAAATAATAAGATGTAAATTACAAATTTAAACAAACTATCAAATTAAAAAGCACTTAAGGTACCATTTGGGAACGCGAGACCGAGACAGACGACAGGCAGCAAAGCTGACAATTCTGCCGTGTTAAAATGATATTTTTAAATAAATATCTTTTATTTATTTCAAGATAGTATCTTCAGTTAGTTTAGAAATAAAGAAGATAAAAATGATATCTATTGAAAACGTGAATAAATAGAGATAATAAAGCTATTAATAATAATTCATTTGATTCAATATTTAACGAGAATGCTGACTAGCTAAATCATTGTTTTATAAATAAACTGATAACCTATAATCGCTATTTTAAAAACCCGTTTGGCTGCTTTGTTTAATTGAACAATACAAATCGTAAACCATTTATTCGTTCTGAAATTTTCCATTACGAGGAGTTTGAGAAGATTTCCCGTTTTAAATGTGGAGAAATATCAATTGGTTCACTCTGGACGTCCTGGGTCATCGAAGGACCAACGAAAAGGATGCAAAATAGCTTCGCAAAATCGTCCTAGAAGTATTTAAAAGATTGCGCAATAGTTTTCGCAAAAAAGATGTGATTTGTGACAGTTGAGACTTGTTTTTTCACCATAACAACGTTCCCGCTCACACAGTCCACTCTGTGCGTTTATTTTTGACTAAACATGGTATGATCGTTATGCCCCACTCCTCATATTCACCCTATTTAAGGGACTGCGAATTTTTTTATTCCCTCGAATGAAAAGGGACACGAAATGAAAGCGTTTTGCGGACGTTGCTGAGATGAAGACATAAACTACGGAAGATCTGTCAGGTATAACCAAATTTAAATTTAAAAAATGAATCCGTCACTGGAATAATAGTGAATTAACTTGAAAGGATAGTCATTTGAAGAAAATCAAAGGTTTTTTTCTAAAAATCCCCCTGTACAAAAATAGTTCGGTTTCTATTGGATACGTCATCGTAGTGGGATCGAGGTATCCTTTTGCACGATCATTTGCATGTCAGTAAGCTTCAAAAATCAGACACGTGTCAAATGGTACAAATCAATATTGAAAAACTTTGCAGCTGGCATAGATAAAGTTACAAAGTTTGATACTCAATACCGTAGGCCCGAATTGTTAGACAAGCTTTGCACTTGCGCATAACTTCAGATTAAGTTGGACAATACCAAAATAGGGCATAACATTACTATTTTAAATAAAAAGACTCAAGAAGATATAATAGGCTACCAAGGTCACACTACTTCCAAAAGTGACCGCGAGATGGCACCACACGTCAGTGTTGAGCAGTATCACTTAGATAACCGCCTTGCGATGAACAATACCGGTTTAATGACACCCCAGAAAAAATTATTTTATTTTGACAACTCAAAATAAGACACTATATTACCATTTTAAATAAAAAGAATCAATGTTAATCTCTGAGTAAATATCCTAGTCTACCACAGGCACACTACTTTCAAAAGTCATCGCGAGATAGCGCCACATGTCAGATAAGTGGTTTGCGACTCGGCTAAGCGATCCAAGATCCGTTATTATTGCTTCAATTTGCATTAAATAAACGACACCAAGGTAGCTATTCTTGAATTCGAGGGAATAGAAAACCGGTTTTGCCTCTTTATCTGCAACGCGCAAAATTTGTATTTTTGTCTCATTCTTCCCTCAAAATTTCTACTCCCTGAGATTCAAGAATACCCAAGGGTAAGTTAGGTTTGGAACTCGACGGATCGCACAGAGCGCGCACGGAGTGCGTGACGTCATAGACAGAGTTCACTCTTTTTAGAATCTCAAGACGAACACAAGGGGAATGACATATGACACTAGTGATAGTTTGCACTTGAATACACTTTTGTGTGTGTCTATGGACTGTAAAAAAATAATTTTAATCAAATAGAAAATAGTTATAACAGAAACAAACAAGAAATATTACGTGTAAAACTGATTAATCACCGATCAGAAAATTGACATTTGACATTTTTAACACATTCCTACAGATACTCGCTGATCCCCATCGGCTAACTCGGGGAAGAGTGAGCGCGCTCTGAGTACGTGATCTGTGGCAAGCCGAACACAAAAGAGTACGCTCTGAGTGCCAAGGCGACCACAATCGAGGCATACCGAGTGCACTCCGAACTCAGCCTATGAAGAGAACGTGACGTAGATTAAACATGCGCAGTGGTAAAGCTATCACAGAAACTCCAGTCTTTAAATTTGTCGGACAATCTTTAAATAAGTTTATACATCGTTGCTATCGTTAACAATAAAGAATTTCAGATTGTCTTTTTTATTTGCACCTCATATTTTTTTTAGATTTTAGTAACTATTGTATAGAGGACAAATATTATATTAAGATTTAATATCTGTTATCTAAATATTTAAGATAAACGATAACATCAAAGATTTATAAAGTGAAAATTGTACACGTTCAAGTGCTGTTGCGTTTATAAAAAAAAAAAAATTAAAAACGAATTTAAATATTTTCTATCTTATTATGTATCTAACTTTATTGGTAGAAGCTGTTTGTTTAAATGTATATAAATTTCAACAGGTGAAAAATCTTAAATATATTTATATCAGTCTGAAACTAAACATCAATCGACTGAAAGGATATATCAAAATAAACCTAAACCAACAAAAGTGGCGCGTTCGCGAAACGTTTGTAACAGTTATTTGCTGACTAGTTCTCCTAAATGTATTTGCCGGAAGTTATTACTGAAATCACTGAACCATTCTCTATCGTGACAAATAAATGTTTTGTATGTGATAGGGACAAGTCTGCGTTAATAAATCAATAAATTAAAATATGATAATGTAATAAAGATAGTTGTCTTACCTTAGGGTTTTCGACCAAAGCCGCTCCAGCATCCCCGAACCCGGGAACGATATTCAGCACCCCAGCGGGAAAACCGGCTTCCTTGGCTAACTCCGCCACGTAGAGGGCGGTCAGCGGGGTCTGTTCGGCGGGTTTCAGTACAACGGTGTTGCCCATGCACAAAGCGGGCGCTATTTTCCAGGATAACATCAGCAATGGGAAGTTCCATGGGATGATTTGCCCGCACACTCCCACGGGTTCGTGGCGGGTGTACGCGAAGAATTTCCCATCGACCGGAAGAACTTTTCCGTGGATTTTGTCAGAGAAGCCGGCGTAGTAGCGCAGCACCTTCACCGAGGTGGCCAGATCGCCGTGAGCGTGCGCGTAGGGTTTGCCGTTGTCCAGGGTTTCCAGACTCTGGAGACGAAAAGAAAACCAACAATTATACACAAATATCAAAAGTTTGCAAAACCTTAAAACGAACACAAGGTGTGGTACCCTAACAGTAGGCCATCTCAAAGTAAGTCGATATTTATTAGGATTACGAGGTGTAGTAATAATAATAAACACCGCTGTCGCCACTATAGCAACTATAACATGACTCATATCCTGAAATTGAAATCTGCTGTACTATCCCTCATTGAAATAAAATTTTCCATAACTTTTTCGTCGAAATTATTTATCTCCAGAACTAACTTTCTATTGATATCATAGCTAAGGCGTTTTTAGTCAATCACATGGTGCTTCGTAAAAATTCCGTGAAAATTATAGAACAACTTTAACTGACGCCTCATCAACTAAATTCTAAATGCTGGTCCGCCGCGAAAAAATTTCGCCCTGATCTGAACTAAATCTACTCGATAGCGGGTGTCCCATGGAGACGCGGATCTCAATCTTTTTGCGGCTGTCTATAGTTTAGTCAAAGAGGTCATAAATAATTGTTATTATAGGAAGGATTTGAAGGGAACATAACAAATAACACTTAAAGAGTAGCAGCCCCCCCTATTTATCACTGAATGTTTCTTCTTCTTTAATATTTGAGTGTTTAGATAATTGTTCTAATTATTTACTGCCATTTTAATAATTGTTGATTAGATTCGGGATTCGTGCGCACATAAAAATGATATCTGGAGCGAACAATCGCGCTTTTAATCCCTTTTGTTCATTGTACTACTCAGAATTCAACTTTCGGGGTCAAGCTCTAGTAGCTGGAGCGAGTATGTCGCGAATATTAATCACTTCATACTCATTGCACAACTCAGTACTAGTAGAAATGTGGGGCGAGTTGTACGCCAAAGGGGTGGCAACTAGGCAGGGGTCATGTCGCGTGTTGTATTCCTTCGTGATCACATTGCCAGGGTTCACGTCCATTCGTAACCACATTGCAAACTCCTAGTTACTACGCCGTGATAACGAAATAGACAAAGCAGTAATAATAAGTACATTGAGTGTTGTATCCCTTTGTACTTGGTGATTGTTCGAATAATTGTTAAGATAATAAATAATTACTAAAGTAATGTTCACGGACACTCATGAATATTTTCTTCTTTATAGGAAAACCCGACTATGCGCATTAAATGGGCAGCACCGCAACCATCAATCAAACCATCCTGGCAGTTCTGTCTAAACTTATCTATCGCTCACTCTCTTCCTTTTTTTCACCTCTTACACGATAAGCGATTTACAGCTTACTTTTCCTCACACCTAGAGTGGGACTCTCATAGTGTACATTTCAATACCAGCGGACGGATACTGAGAGACTTCGCCGAGGACAACGATCTAATTATACATTATACAGAAGAACCGATATATTTCCCGGCCTGTGATAGATATAATCCAAGTACACTGGATATCGCTATAGCTAAGAACATTCCAGATATTCGAAACAGGCGAACCATCACCACATTAAATTCAGACCATGAGCCAGTGTACTTGGAAATATGGACCACAAACAAAATACAAAGACAACAAAAACGATACTACGATTATACTACAACAAACTGGACACAATATAGAACACAATTGGACAACTACACAGTAATAAACAACAATATTCACATAGTTAAAACACTCGAAAATGAAACCAAAATTTTAATAAAGAACATACAAAAAGCTAGAGACGACACAACCACAATCAAGACACAAAAACTACACATTGACACTCTGCCACCTGAAATTCTAGACCTAATAAACAACAAAAATCACATTAGAAAAAGGTGGCAGCAAAATAGAAGACCAGAGGATAGGGTATTAATGCATGGTATAGCCAAGACTATAAAAAGAGACCACCTTAACAAAAAATAGCAAAATACCCAAATCAAACGACAACTCATTGTGAAGAGGTATAAAAAACCGCATTCATTACTTCCCACAATGAGACAGGGACCAAACTTACTAACTACGGACAAGGATAAAGGTCAAGCCTTCGGCGAATACTTTCAATCGAAATTTGTCAAACCTCAAGAGAACAATAACAATCAAAATCACATCGAAGACATCGTCACTCTATTTAAACAGCTGGAACCACTACCAGTGCCACACTCTTTTTTAACCTCTCCTAAAGCAGTTGGTGAGGTAATTAAGAGTCTCAAAAATAGGAGAACTCCGGGCCCAGACGATAATAGTAATATACTGCTAAAAAAAACCTCAGCAGAAAAGCTGTCGCGCAGATCTACCATTTAATAAATGCCATTTTCAGACTAGAACACTATGCCAGTAGTCTGAAAGTGGCAAATATCATACCACTCTTAAAACCAGGTAAACCGGCTCACAATATAGAAAGCTACCGACCCATATCCCTGCTTAATACAATAGCAAAAATTGCGGACACAATAATTCTGAAAAGAGTTAAAACCATTGAACAACAGCTGCAGATTATCCCACGGGAACAATACGGCTTCAGAGAGGGACGCAGCACCGTGGCCCAGGTCTTGAGAATAGCACATTACGCGAAAGAAGCGTTTAATCACGGCTTACAAACGGTGCTAGTGGCGCTAGACAGCGAGAGAACCTTTGACACCGTATGGCCTCGTGGGTTAATCTACAAAATGCTTGTGAATGACTTTCCTGGGCATATTGTAAAAATAATTCAATCATACCTACAAGAAAGACACTTTAATATTAAAATCATTTCAACAATTACAGGACCTTTCATAGCGATGGCGGGAGTACCGCAGGGTTCAGTACTGTCGCCACACCTGTACACTATTATGACCTGTGATTTACCTATGGGTGATAATGGTGTGTAAACGGCACTGTACGCCGATGATATCTGTATTTTTAATAGCCACAAATCCGCCGAAACTGCGAACAGAAAGCTGGACGCCCATATCAGCGGACCCTTGATGAACTATCTCGCTGAAAACAACATGAATATCAAATCAAATAAGACTGAAGCCTTACTTTTCACCAAAAGAAGGACAGAGGGTATTGTCACATCCCTAATCATACAAGGACAAGAAATACCTGTGAAAACGCAAGTAAAATATCTTGGTTTTCAGCTAGATAGTGGGATTACATTCATGGCGCATATAAAAGACAGAGTGAATAAAAGTACAGGTGTTTTAAAAGCTCTGTACCCCATAATCAATAGAAGAAGTAGAGTATCACTTCCTAACAAACTTCTTTTATAGAAAACCATATTCAGGCCAATCCTAATGTATGGGTGTCCAGTTTTTTGTTCAATGTCCGCTACTCACTTTAATAGATTGTAAAGGGCGCAAAACAGATGTCTGAGGCTTGCTCTCGGATACGATCGCTACGCTAGAATACGTGACTTACATAATACGACAAATATGCCTTACATCAAAGACTTTCTTATAGAAACGGCAGAGAACTTCTACGCGCGATGCCTCCCTGATGAATTACGGGATAGCATCATGAACATTTATCAGGGGGACAACGTGCGCAGAAGACACGGATGCCTACATAAAAATATCAGCATATACAGAATACAGTAACGTGACCATTCACAACACGACCCATACTAAACTATAATTCACACGGACTGGATACTTAGGAGATCTAGTCCGACAGAAGACTGAGCAATGATCCTGTTTTTTCCTAGCTTTTTAAGGGGACAAAACAATAATTAACGCAAGACAGACCTACTAACCATGTACAATTACCGATTTATACACCATACAACCCCTTAATTATGCCCCTAGGGCAAGGAGTGAGGGCTGCTATATTTAGCATAATCATAATAATAAACAACACGGCATACGAGTATAAGGCAAAGAGATACTCGTCTTGTCTCATGCAGACCCCTGTTATGAGCAATACCTTACACTTTGTATTCTATTTTTATGCTGATGTGTATAGCAAAGGTGAATAAATGTTTTTAAATAAAAAATACTTCTCCTCAAACGACGAACAAATTGTCTAATCAAATTTAGGATACATATAAATTGTTTTATATAAAATTAGATACAAAAACTGCAAATTATTTCTTTAGAATGCCGTCGACCTTGAAGGTAAATTTAATTCAATATCGGAGATTTGGCGAGACAAATATTAAGATTTAATAAAAAAAACAAATTAAAATATATCGCATATTATAAAGATTTATAATCATCATGAACTGGCAAGAACAATTTTCCTTCGTATGCAAATTCTCATGTTTTTTTTATATTAATTTTTATATTCATATCGTTACCTTTTTGCCAGACTATTATCGTAAGTGCTATTTAAACAAATGTCACTTACGTTAGTCTGGCAAAAAGGTATCGATATATTAGTTCAATAGGCAAATAATAGGCAGTAATAGAATGTTGACATAATTGCCATATCCAATATCCTTGAAAGAAAAATTTAATTCATCTTACAGACTATCCCAATAAAATGTTTAGAATTCATAAAATATTTGCAGTTTAGATTTTAAAAAATACATTTTGACATGAATTATTTAAATAACTGTCCCAGTAAGTACCAATGGGTGGTTCTTATTGGGACAAGCAGTGTATACTGGGACACCTGATTTTTTCTTAAAAACCTCGAACAACCTGGAAATCAAAATGGTTGGGGTTCGTGTCGAGATATTTTTTGATGGTGGCACCTATATCAGCTACAGGTGGGGGGGGGGGGGGGGGGTGGGTGTATTTTTTTATGCGATATTTATGGGATAATACAGCTATATACCAAGTCTCTGAATACCACGCTGGCCTAATTTATTTTTTATTTCTGTCAGGGTTGCAAATGTTTCATTTATTATGTTTTAGGATTTTATTTTACTATTTATTTTCAATTTTTATTAAACTTACGAATTTGTTAAATATGTATTTATTTTAAGTTGTTTTCTTTTTTTTTTTCATATATTATTTATATGCATTTTTTTGACCCAGGGGGCCCCGAAAAATATCTTGCACATAGAAGTTCCACGTGAATGATCAAGGTCAAAACCGACAACTGACATTTATTATACTATTAACTCCAAACACTAGATGGGGTTACTGGTAAAATTGTTTTACATTCCTCCATTGTTATAGGTAAATCGTGAAGTCCTCCAAATATATGACGAATACGTGTATTTATGTTTTTGGTTATTTTGATTTTTTGGTGTGATTTTAGTGATTTTGGTGTTGACTTTGGCTTTTGGTTTCTGTTTATAGTTTCTTCTTACTTATTTGCAAAATTGTGATATTTTCAATGTTTTGTTTTTTATTTTCTACTGTTTTGTTTTTTATTTTCTACTGTTTTGCAATTATTTTGGTGATACGTTAAAAACTTCGAGAAAAACTTCATTGATTCGCCATGTATCATAAAAAGACAAACCGGTACAACTAATCCAACATCAATAATTTATCACTAGACTAGATCCCGAAATTATTTTCCACGTAAGAGAGTAAACTATCTGTATTTAGAAGGAATATATTTTTTATCAGTAAATGAATAGTTAAAAGGATTCACCTTTTAATCCAATACCTATATTATATTTGTTCTCAGTTAAAAAAGACGTTTATAAAATATATTTCTTTAGTGTTAATAAAATGTAATATCCTAGTCTTTACTATGCAAAACCAACCCTCCATATCAGAACCGTTATAACAAATTAATTCCTCAAATTTGGCATAATCGACCTTAATTATTTTGTAAAATAAAAGTTTCGAACTTACTAGTTCCATACTTCATTTTATAAAATAATTTATGTGGAAATCATTTAAAATTTAATTTAGGATCACTATCTACTATCATCTGTCAATTGTCATTTTTGTTTCTACTCCAAACACAAGGTGGCGCTAATTTGGTATAAATGTCTGAACATTGGCGTGGGATCTCTAGAGGATACGTGCGTTGTAACTGCAACCATTAATGATCAATAAAGTTTATTTTTGTTCTAGTACTAATACTTTAAATTTCAAAACTCACAGCAATATACGCGGAATCTCTCTCAATAAGATCGGCTAACTTATAGAGCAAACGGCCCCTTTCCGATGCGTCCATGGTCCTCCATTTCGATCCCCATTTGAAAGCTTCATGAGCCGCATCGACCGCCAGATCTATGTCCGCTTTACCGCCTTGCTGTACCTCCGTAACGACTTTGCCGGTGCTTGGATTGACAGTTTCGAAGGTTTGACCGGATTTGGATTTGTGCCATTCATTGTTGATGAAAATCTGCAAAAAAAGACGAAAAATGTCTATTGACTACGTAAGAAATAAAGAAATATATATGATTTTTGACGAATGTGAATGTAGTCGCACGAGCCGTAGGCGAGCCCTACAATCATATGAGTCAAAAAAAAAGGAACTTTACACACGAGTTTCATACACTATTTTTTCTACTACCGTACACATTATCCACTAATATTAGAAATGTAAAAGTTACTTTTTTTCACCAAAATAACGTTTTTTCACTTTACGCACCAGTGAAAAAAAGTACAACTTTACACATTGTAGTAAAACAACAATTATAAACTATCTTTAAATAAAACACTTAAACTGTGTTTATAGAAGAAAGATCATAATAACTAATCTAATTGTGTTTAATACAAAAATATTATATAAATAGATATAAGGGAAATAGTATATTATGCAACGATCATGTAATGATGGTTATTAATACACGAGCATTAACCGGGATACGAAACGAGCCAAAGGCGAGTTTCGTATGGTTTATGCGAGTGTTTTAATAACCATTACATGAGAGTTGCATACGCTATTTTTTCTACACCCGATAAATAATCAAGACCTATAAATATTCTATTTATATTGGTATTGAACACAATAACAGTAATTACTCGTATTTCTATAAAAAATTCTACAAAATTGTAATTAATGGTATTACCTTGGGTACTGGTATTACCACAGATTTTTGGGGCAAAATATTTTGTACTGCATTTTCTCCTTTCTCCTATATGTGTGGAGGAGTGTTCTATATCGCTGATATCAGACATTTTAATATTATAATTATCGAAGTTTAGCTATCTACGAAAATTTAATACGTTTTGACAACTAAAACAATTACATAGGAATTTAGGACAAACGTCAAACATCATGCTTGATTGAAAAATTGTAGGTTTCTATTGATTAAAAATCTGTATCATAATGAAAAATCTGTATCATAATGGGTATCATTATGAAACGGATTATGGGCATATAAGTGCATTATTATAATACGGGTGTAGAAAAAAGCAATTAGCAGACGATGAAGACCATTTTTCTAGAGATAATCGTATTTATTTATTTATTTATTCAAATAGGTACACTACAGAATTATTATTCTAAATGGTACACAGAGTAAAAAAAATAACAATTAATACATGTATGTAGAATACCTACATAAAAATATCACATTCACAAAATGACATACATAGTGAGAGGTGTAAATATTAAAGCTCAAAAAAAAACAAGAAAAATTTTTTTTTGACTGTTTCAAATTACTCTTTAGCGCATACAACGTTGTGTTAAATAGGTCACAGTCGGATTAAAGCTTATTGTAAATGTGGCACATACGGTCAATAAATGCTCTTTGTCCATAGTTGGTTCTATGTCTTCTGATGAAAACAATGAAGTATGACGTGTACGTCGAGTAGGTGCCAAAAAGCCAATTAAGTGTAAAAGGGCGTTACAGTCAATCTTACCGTTAACTAATTTAAACAGAAACAGAACTAGTACATGTCTTCTGATTTCTAGGCTTTGCATACCACATAACAACAGTCTACTTTCGTAACCAACGTTTTGGTAGGGAAAGTGGTGTTTAAACATCATAATGATTTATTCCCTCAAAAATGTGTTTCATTTCTTGGGTCTTGTTCGTCTTAATAGTGTTAATATAAACACGTGCACCCTTGAAAATTTCATCTCGAATAGTGATGTAAATGTGATGTAAATATATTCCAATTTTGACGCATTTGAAGGATTTTGGGTACTTTCTAGATTCTAAGGTAAATAGATGAAAAAACCGAAAACCTTTGCAAGCAGATGAGTGCATCAGCATTACATAACGATGCAATATTTGTTTTTGCGAAAATATCATAGGAAGAACTTCACGGTAAATAAATTGCTGTAACTACTAATGGGAGTGGGTGAAAAAAGTTTTAGTGGTTATGCATATGTGTGCATCAGAAGTGCATACCGGTGCATTAGTTTTTTTGCAAAAACTTCATTGGGGGGCGCTAACTTCACAGTAAAGAAATTGCTCTAACTACCGAAGTGAGAGGGTGCAAAAAGTTTTGTTGATGGTGCATATGAGTGCATCAGGAGTGCATCAGGAGTGAATCAGGAGTGCATATCGATGCAATAGTTTTTTTTGCAAAAATTTATATGGCATAAGGAGGAAGTAAATTAGGTAAATAAGATGGTGCAATTTACACCGGTGAACACTGCACCAACAGGGAACAAAAGAACCTTATGTGTCGATGTGTCCGAAGTGCAGTGTTGCCAATTAGGTGAAAAAAAAGCGCAACTTTTGCGCTTTTTGTCTAAGTATTGTGATTTTATTGCGCCCTCCACTTTTTTGCGCCGTTTTTGCGATTTTTACTTGCAAAGGCGACTGGTATCCCAGTAAACCACAAATAGTTGGTATTCGCTCGGCCTGACACCGGCATGTACGGGAGGCCGAGTACTCGGATTGCCCTTGAAGGGGTTTCTTCTGAGCCGGGAGTAGCGTACCTTTTGACGTAAATTAGAAACAGAAACCGCATGTTGTCCATATTTGGCTTTGTAGACATGGGAGGCATTCTTACGAGCCGAACGCGGTGAATATTTGGCTAGCCGGGCATGGGAGGCATCCTTACGGGCTGAACTATACAGTATGGTTCAAATGAAAGGAATAAATTCATTATAATGGAAGTAGTTGGTTTTTCGAAAAAATGCTCGGACAGGTCAATTTTGATTACTCAAAGCGCAATTTTTTAAATAGAATTCAATTTTCCCCCACTTCCCGTTTTTGGGCAGTGACGTCATTGACAATTTTTTTAAATAGTAACCCCAATTTTTTTTTCTTGATTTTGAAACATTTTGCAATTTCCTACTCGAAAACATAATATTTGAAATATCTGACATAAATTTTTTTTTGAATAAAAGTCACTTAAAGATCAGATACATAAATTTTATTTTATTTTGAAACACAATAAATGAATAAAAGATGTTTTGTAATTGTGCTTCATCTAAAAGAATAATAATAATAATAATAAAAAAAATTTAATGCCAATTTCACAAATTCTTTTTATTATTATTATTATTATTATTATTATTATTATTATTAATATTTTGTTAGATTAAGCACTTAATTACAAATAATTATCTTATATTCATTTATTGTGTTCTCAAAATAAAATAAAATTTATGTGACTTTAAATGACTTTTATTCAAAAAAAAATGTTATGTAAGATATTTCAAATATTATGTTTCCGAGTAGGAAATTGCAAGATCTATCAAAATCAAGAAAAAAAATTGGGGTTACTATTTAAAAAAATTGTCAATGACGTCACTGTCCAAAAATGGGAGGTGGGGGAAAATTGAATTCTATTTAAAAAATTGCGCTTTGAGTAAACAAAATTGACCTGTCCGAGCATTTTTTCGAAAAACCAACTACTTCCATTATAATGAATTTATTCCTTTCATTTGAACCATACTGTATATATAGATATATGAACGCGGCTACAATGTAATGGGCTGCCGACATTCGGCTGGGCGGACATGCCCTACCTATATGCCGAAGCTGCACCCGAATATCGGGCCGAGTACGGCATTCGGCAAGCCTCCTTCGGCCCAGTTACGGTGCCGATTAACTGTGTTTATTGGGATATAACATTTTATTTTTTTCCTTTTTACTCTCATAAGTAACATATTTTGATAAACAGAGAAATTTGTCTGAGTATGTAAACAAGAATGGGTATTTTAAATTCAGCATGACTCCAATTCTTAATTGAAGTAAAATATGCTTTATTTGAATCCTGGCATTCTTAAATTAACATTACCCTCTGTTCAATTTTTGAATGAAAAGTTATAAATAAGCACCAACATTGTTAATTTCAAAGAAATAAAGATTGTGGCATGCTTGGCTCAAAAACAAGCACGAAAATGCTTATTTTTTAGCTTAAAATGAGCATGAATTTTTTCTCTGTGTAGTCAAAACAGACAAATACCCTTTCAAGAAAGTTTATATGTCCAAAACGTATTGAATATAGAGTGATTACTTATGAATTACCATAAACCCTTATCCACTATTTTGTGCTTTTAAATTATATTTGAGGCCAATATTTTGGCTTTTTTATGTTGGTATTAAAGTTGAGCTTTTTGATCAAAAATTGCGCATTTTATGCTAGAGTTTTGCGCTAACCGTTTCTTCGATATTGGCAACACTGCCGAAGTGGAAAAACAAACGCTGGAGGTCTAACAAATGGATGGGATGTGGATATTCAAAATTCAAACGCAGTAACACGGGGGTTTATACTCGTGTATCGGGGACAACACTAATGATTTGTAAACCTTAGAAGTAAATTTCACATATATGAACAAATAATAATAAAGCCGTGACAACAAGAAGACGAAGCAACGACTTCTCGTAAGGTGGCGGCTTTGCCGCCACCAGAAAATTTCAATCCATACCTGGCTACGCCGACCGGCATAAACACCAACGGTATGGACCCAGGTCACCTATATACTCTGTCAAAAGGAGACCGATGTACAAATAAAACGCGTCCAACATGCGCACTACAAATCATTAGTATACGGTGCAAGAGAGAGGCCCGACACGCCCAACATATGGCGCGGTCATTTTGATGCCTTTACCACAGTTTATAGCTAAAGAATCAGTTCGCTCACTCTGCGTTGGCACTTTTGATCTCAATGTTCTAGTTTATACACTGCGCAACTCGGATAATACAATATATGACAACCGCCCATAATAAAACAGCAGTCTTCTGCGCATCCTGAATTTGTATCCCTGGAGTGGATGTTATTTTGGAACTTTCAACTGGTCCGAGTGAGCTAACTAATTCTTTAGCAATAAACTGTGACTCCAAAAATAATATTCACTGACACTGACAGGAGCAAGCAAAATATCAAGTGCGTTTTAATCATCCGCTTCTGCTTCCGGAATTGTCGGTTTAGTCGTTTTAACCTGTCATATTAAAAATATTGCGCCAACACGTAATAAGGCATCAAAATGGCGGAGTTTTCTATCTCCTTTTAAAAGGCACCCAGAAAGCTGCGCAGTGCGACCATTCTCCGCATTTTGTCAACAAGTTACTGCGCATCGAAACTGGCGTATACGTCCGTTTTACAATAACACAATTATATTTAAAATATAAAGTAAACAGAATAATTACAAAATATCTCAATAAAAATGTAATATTTTCACATTTTTTTATTCATCTATCGTAAAATTGAAAAAATATGAATTTATTTAATTATCCTTTCTCCATGTGCAGCAAATAATAGACCAAGAGCTGAAAGTATTGTTAGAAATATTTTGTGTTATAAAACTTTCTAGGGCACCTTTTATTTTCTTTAAAAAAACCTATAAAGTTTATTGCGCTCTATCCCCGTATCAACTTTAGAAAGAAAAGAATATGACAAAAGTGATAAAAAATTTACTAATCTACAAAAAGACTTATGTTCATCATCGACATAGAATAGTGTTAATGAGATACCTATAAAAACCTTTTGTATTTAACAAGGCGCGAATATCACCATTTTGAATATCCTAGAAACATTTGAAAAAAACTTACATTACGGTTTTTCTGATTTATAGTTAATTTGATTTTTGCAAATAACTCAAGGTATCATAATGATTGAACTTGCCTGTGTAAGTAGTGTATGTATCGCTTTTTCTATTAATAAAAAAATTGAAAAATACTTACCCCAGAATATAGCACTTCTGGAGGTTGATGAGCTTTGGGTAAAGCACGTGCACTGTAATTGCATTTTTGTATTTGATTAACCGCTTTTTTAAAAACACGTAACATTATAAATTCAAAATATATCGCAATTCAATGTGTTAAAAATGTCAAAACCGGCTGATTTAATGTCACTACAGGCAACCTAACCTCAACCAAAGTTCCGCGCTGCGGAGCAAATAAAAATGACTGATTACTGATTAAATATTTAAAAAAGAAATGAATTTAAATACCCAGAGCTGGTAGGAGATAAAAGACTCACTCGGCAATTCTTTATCTACTCAATTATCCATTTAGTTATTTATAGATCAAACGCTTTCAAACATCGTTGCCATATTCAACTATTTTAACGAAATCCATGGTGTAAGGATACAGGTGAAGCGGTGCGCAGGTTTTATGACGTCAACATCGGTATTGCCACGGCCGCCTATACGCCCTATACACTGCCATGCCATTCCATGGCTTTGTTTACATTTTGTAATGATTGTCAAGAAGTTTAACTTTTATTTCCTAGTTCTATAATCATTATAAAACTGAAAATATATTTAGAAGAAAATAACAACTGCGTCAAATAACATCAAGTTATGCTCAATAATACTTACAAGAAAAGTCACTATAGGCAGATAGACGCTTGTACAAAAGTAATGCCAAATAAAAAAAATATTTTGTGCTTTTATACAAAAAAAGTAGGTAATTTATTTCGAATTTAGCCATGGTGTAAGGAATTTAGCCTAATATAGTTTCTCTCTGGCGTAAAAAAGATAGTGTTCATCAGAAACTGAATTTTTCCATCACAAAACTTGGAAGAGGATGTTACATCTAGGATTTAAATCTTCATACCTAGCATTGCTATCTGATAGATTGAGATCAAGATGATAGCCAAAACGTACCTAAACTTACAGAGACATTACCATTAAAAAGTTTTAGTGGCTCAGCAGGGATAAAAATTGGAACTAATAAAAGGCATACACAAATAACTAATTTAAATGTGAAACTGAAATATGTAGTGTCCCCTGTATAGTGGAAAAATGTTTAACCTCTTGCCAATTAATTAATAATAGGAAGTGCTGACTCATTAAATATGTTTAAAAAGCAAGAAACTCTTGCTCAAAAAGGTATACTACAAAGTGGATAAATTTTTCTGATTCCTTGAATTAAGTAGTTCATTTTAATTTATGTGTATACTCCTGTATATATATTTCTCGATTGTCATATTTGTACTTAGGTTGTGCATTTTTGTTTTTATATTATATTTTGTCTTGATATTAGAATTTAAAAAATTTTAAAATAAAAAATTTCATTTATGTATAAGTATTTTGTTTGTTTTTTTTCCTTTGAATTTTAACTTATGTTATCTATCTTTGTTAATAAGAATGTAATTAATTCTTCAACAATAAATAATTTTGAAGCGATTCAAGTAAACTTGTGTATAATGTTAACGAATGCTGAACAATAAAATTAAGGTGAAATGAATTTTATTATGATCAGTATATTTTTTTAGTCGCCAATTTTCTTAAATAATCAGTTTGGAAGTATGTGGTCACTTTTATAGATTATAAATGTAATAATTTAATTTTAAATTAGTCATCAAACATGGATATCAATAACTTGTATGCACAGATCAATTACTTTCTTGTATGGTTGGGTGCTGGTAAACCCCTTTATGTATTTAATAAATAGAAACACTTGGCAAAACATACTTTATTTTAATAAAAAGCACAGAGGTGTTATTTTAAATTGATTTATTTATGTTTAAAAATGGTTTATACATAATGTTTACTTCTTTATCTTGCTTAACACTTTATAATGTATATGTATTGTTCTAAATTTAAACATTTAGGCCAGTCTCTTAAGGTAGTAAACCCAGGTAAAGGATAATGAACAGTTCTTAAAATCTATAAGCCTTAGGACGAATGCTTCTTAGGGAGATTGTGGATGCTATGTCATCCGAACTTCAACGAATTCTTTTTTTATTTTCATTGTATAAAACATTTATTTGACCCGGAGTGAAACATTTACTTTACTTTCCTGAATTTCCACTTGAGAATTATTTTTCAACTGGCTAATTTCTTCTTTCAATGAAAGTATTTCTATATTTGATTTGTTGCATTTTTCAGTAATTTTGTTTAGTTCTTCACGAAGACTCTTAATAGTTTTCTCTAAAATAATAATTTAATTTTTAATATTGAAATAAAAGCAATTATCACTTCAAAGTTTAATATTTAATAAAAAAAATTGTTTTGAAATGATTGTAATGTTAATTAGTATATGCTAAGTTGTGTAATTTTCTTTTCAAAGCCACATTTTTTGTTAATAAGGTAAATTTGTACATACGTTTCTAGTTCTGATGATACCAATATATTTTGAGTGTCTGTTTCCAAACTTTGATTCTCCTTGTCCTGGTCTGCAGTTGACAATTGTCTGGAATGCCCCGAAATATTAACAACGCTCTCAATAAATGTTTGTCGATATCTTTTTGCCTGCCTTCTTAATCTATCTTCACTTTCTGCAGACAATTGTCTTTTTTTCAATGGGAGATTTTCAGTAGGAACTGCTGTTTGTTTTAAGTTTCTACCAGTCTTAGTGGAGTAGTTTAATAGCCTCTGTTGTAAGGGTATTTCAAAACTATCCTTCGAAAAATGTATGGAACAAATACAAGCTTAAAAAAGAAACAAGACATAAAATTAATCATATTCAAGTTAGGTTTGCAAAAATCATACCATTTTTCAAATTAATTGTATCTTTTCACCCTCAACCGTTGACCCAGGCTTTGGCTATATCTGTTTTCGGAAATCCAAAATACTTAATATTTGTTCTCTTTGTTTTTCTTAAATAGTTCTTGCTGCCAAACACTGCACAACCTGGCATTTTGTTAGTAACTACACACCCTAAAATATAGTAGATTTTAATGTATCAATAATATAATAATAATAATAATAATGATATATTAAAATAACAATAATGAATATAAACTATTTCTTTTATCTTTAAAATACAACAAAAATGTTACATAACCTAACTTTATATCAATTACACTACCAACTTAATTAGAAATTAATTTAATAATACGTACCAATAATTTCTAAACAGGCCTATTGATATATAGAAATGATATTAAATATTAAGATAAATATATCTATAAACTTCTAAACACTACCAGGAAAATATTAGAATAACTTTAAAAGTCGCTTTTTAACATTGGAGACATAGGCAAAACAAAAATATGCTCCGCAGGTGACGTCATGCGCAAGAATGACCAAATTTCGTACCGCTTACCGCTTCACCTGTATTCTTCCACCATGAACGAAATCGTAAAAAATTTGCACAACTCTATAATAATAATCTATATATAAAGACATCACTTGATATGAAATGAAATAAAATATACATGAAGTAATACTTGACTTTATTTATAATTAATTAAAACACGTATAAAATAACTATTTAAATATTTATAAAGAATAAGTAATGAAATGTGAATAATTGTGACAACACTAGTTATAGTATTTAGTGGCACCTATCGACATTCGAACGAATTAAAATGAACTTTGTATAGAAAACTAAGAAAATTTATATAATGGCTAGATGTTTTTTAATGGATGTTGCGAAACTACTAGGTATTAAATTCATATAAGAAAATGAACATTTAAGAATATGTTTTATTTCTGATTTTATGATGGTTGTCTTTAATTCCTCCCGCTTATCTATTTTGTAACTTTTGCCATCTACAGACAAACGTTTAAGTACGCTAAAATATATTAAAGAAACCTGTAAATACCTACATGTATTATTGATTAAATAACTGAAAGATGGATACTGATCCTGATATAGTATATTTTGTTCAAATAATTGATTTCTGATAAAAATTTTGAAAAGAAAGAGGCAAATATTGGGGTAATTTTGAGGAGTTAATTTTAGATGTAATTGGTTAAAATTTGAGGTGTTTCTTTTTTTTGAAAAGTGAGGGGATAGATAATTGCTGAAGAAAATACCTACCTATGGAGTAAATTTTGGTAGTCATTTTGGGAAGAGGTAATAGGTATTTAAGAGAAAAGTAGGTACCTAACTAGTAGGTATTTAAAAGGGATATAAAGGTGGTAATATTTTTCTAAAGGGTATAATAGAAAAGGGCAATTAAGGTAACAGTCTAGTTTAGATGGTAAATTTGAGGAAAAGGGGTAACTGTGGGGCTTAAGGAAATTTGGGTTTTCATTCTAAAAATTAACCCAAATTAAAGCCAAAATCCTATTCTGTCCTTACTAGTAATTGCAACATGCAACCGTCATTTCACAGAGAACAAATATTATACATGTAGTCCGTCAGATAGTGACAAGTTTAGGTGCCCCATTTTCGCATACAAGCCTTGAAGAGGGTTGAAAAGAACATCGATTTTAAGTAGAATGAAAGGAAATTTACGAGTGGCTGCTGGGGATAACACATGGAAAATTCGTTTTGTCACCCAGATCACTATAATAATTGTTACAATTATTTTTTTTACCTTTTCATCTACTATTTCTTGTTCATCTTTTGTTAATAATTTTTTATTTTCTATTTTAGGTTCTTCCCCGACAAATATTTCACACATTCTCATAAAGCCGCCTGGAGGCAATATACTGGTAAAAAAGCTCCACAGACTGTACTAGAAAATCTAGAAATAAGCCCTGGTAGTGTTAATACCAAAAGAAAAAGATAAGCCACTGCTTCAGGTATCGTCTTAGCTCACTAGGAAAATTATGCGAAACAATGCTAAAAAACAGATTATAAAAAGAGATCGAAATTAAGGGTGGATTTTCATCAAACCAATTTGGATTCTGGACAGGGAAATCAACAATACAAGCGATATAAGAAGTAATTAAAAGTGCAATAAAATCAAATAAAAAAATAGGTTGTGGTCGTGACCGTAGATATCAAAAATGCTGGGAAAACATTATGGATAAGCTGGAAGAAAAAGGAATAGCAAGATACCTAATAAATGTAGTAGACAGTTATCTAAGGGATGAAAACAAATGCATCGAACTAAGCACAGGAGTACCACAGGGATTCGTATTAGGACGCACGTTGTGGAATGT